CAGCACCTATAAGTGCCCCTCCAAACCACTCACTATCTTGACTTTTAACATGTCAAAATCCTGGAACTCCCTTCCTAACAGCATTGTGGATGTACCTACACCTAGACAACTGCAGTAGTTCACAAAGTCAATTCATCACCCCCTTTCCAGGGCTGTTTCGGAAGACAATACAAATGCTGGAAAAAAATAGAAAATGCTAGAGAAACTCGACAGATCTAGCAACATCTGAAGACAGAAAAACAGTTAATGGTTTGAGTCTAATATGACTTTTCTTGACAACTCTTATAAACTTGGCCTAGCCAGCGATGCCAACATCCAATGAACAAAAGATTCTTAAGGGACTTGACAGGTTAGATATAGAGAGTCCGTTTCCCCTTGTGGAAGAGTCTAGGACCACAGGGCATAATGTCAGAATAAAGGATCGCCGATTTAAAATAGAGATAAGGAAGAATTTCTTTTCTCAGAGGGTAGTAAACCTATAGAATTCTTCATAGCAGAGGGCTGTCATTAAGTATATTCAAGGCTGAGACAGACAGATTTTTAATCAGTAAGGGAATCGAGGGCTGTGGATTAAGGAAAGAAAAATGAGTTGAAGTTCATCAGATCTGCCATGATCTCTTGAATGGAAGAGCTGAATTGATGGGCTGAATGGTCTACTTCTACTCCTGGGATATATGCCATGACAGAAAGAGCAAAACAGAGGCAAATTTAGGTATTAAAACTGAGAGATTGACCTGGATTTTTGTGGAATCCACCTGACTTTGGAAGACTTTCAAAATGGCAGGTGGGAACAAACTCTGGGATTCCCACCTTTATTCCAGTTTCTGGCAATTTTCACTGGCACAGGACTGCAGGATCTCAGAAGTGAGCTTGTCTCCTGCACTTGTGGCCTGGTGGCTCCATTGCAAGGGTAGACATCTCATATAGCCAAATCCTTGAGCAGTCTAGTTAGCTTCTCAATAATCTGGGGTTCACAGGCCTTGAAAGGAGTCTCAAATCATCAATTGGATTCAAGAGCTATAGCCAGGTAAATGTAAAATGTTTGTCTTTTCTCCACCAGCTCCTCATATTCCCTGTGATTCTTCCCTTACCCCAAGGTGCCTTCTATGCCTATACACCCAGCATGCACCAACCTCAGAACCACTGAACTACATAATAATAATGCCAACTGTTTGAATTGTTCATGATTTTTGAAGGATGTTCTTTTCATCTTTGGAAAAACATAACTGTTTCATCTTACAAACTTGTAAAAGTGCCAAATAGACAGCAATAACAGAAACCTCATGGCACATTACCCAAAAGTGCCTTATCCAAAAGAAACTTTGTTTTTATTCATCCACATGATGCCGGCATCACTGGCTGGGCCAGCATTTATTGCTTATCCCTTAGTGAACCAGATAGGTTTTTCCTGACAATTGGCAATGATTTCATGATCATCATTAAACTCTTCTTTCCAAATTATTATTGAACTCAAATTCTACCACCTGTCATGGTGGGATTTGAACCGCAATCCCTAAAACATTATCTGGGGTCTCTGGATTATTGGTCTAGCAATAATAACACTAGGGCATCACCTACTCTTGCATGGATAAACCATAAAGAATAATATATAACTTCAAAAATGTCAATCAAAAAAAGCTAACACTCCATCAACCAATGTAACCCTTTACTAAGCTAACTATTTTTGGAGCTCAGCCAAACATCCATGAAATATTTGATTTTTTTTAACCTGGTGTTACAAAGGTTGCTGTCTAAATAATATGAAAATTATTTAGAATGAGAGTCATATAGAGCAACAGCTTGGAATTGTGCAATGCCTGTTATTTAAAGTTTAGTTCTGTTACATATTAAAATTAGGTGGTTGTGGGGAGGTGAAAAGCCCTACTTATAGATGACTTATAGATGACATTGTCTATTGGCCAGGCTGAGAGTACCACAGACCAAAAATCAGCATTGCACATGATATGGTCCCTCCTTAAACTGACAACAAATGCACTGAGAGCTTCTTTGTGGGGTTAAAGTGCTCAGGTGTATAACTTGCTGCAATGCTAACAGCCATGAATACATTTTCAATGACATTCAAATAAGTTAATAATGATGATCCACACTGCTCATTAGATTCTATCACTCAACCAACTACATGGCCTAGTGACCTATGGGTCACTGCCACAAGCAGAAAACATCAGCAGGAATGAGACCGAAAGATATGAACTAATCTGAGCTATGCTTCAAGTCCCAAAGGTATTTTAAACACAACTGACATCACTGCCAATAATTTCACTTAGGTGGATAGCAACACATGATAATGTGATTGGGAATCAATTAATGGGAATCCCATTAGCCCTAACAGCTATATATTTAGCCTCAACCACTTTCTATTCAGCTCCAGGCCATGTCTGTAGGGGTTTATCAGGATTGTGTCCTAAACCCAAACATTTTCAGCTGCTTCAATAATTCCATTAGGTCAGAAGTAGGGATTTTTCAATCAAAGTTGCAGAACATTCAGATACTGAGGTACTCCATGTCCAAAAGCAGCAATACTCAGGATTAGCTTATTGGTGACAAGTATTATTTGTGCTATACAAGTGGCAGGCAATAACCATCTGCAATGAGAGAAAATATAACCATCACTCCTTGGCATTCAGTTGCATTACCATCACTATCAAAATCTTGGAGGTTACCAGAGAGCAGAGACTCAGCTGGACCAGCCATACAAATACAGTGGCTACAGCAGCAGTCACAGGCTAGGAATCCAGCAGTAAGAAACTCAGATCTTGATTCCCCAAAGCCTGTCCACAATTTACAAGGTATAAGTCATGACTGTGGATGGAATACTCTGCACTTACCTGGATGCATTTCATGCCAACAACACTCAAGAAGCACGACACCATCTAGGAAAATGCAACCTGTTTGATTAGCTCCACATCCACTCCCTCCAATACCATTACACAGTATGAGCAGTATATACCCATCTACAAGGGGCACTGTAGAAATTCATTAAGGTTCCTTAGACAACACATTCCAAATCCACAACTACTACCATGTAGGAAGACCAGGGAAGAAGATACTTGGGAAAACCATCTGCTGCAAGTTTCTCTGCAAGCTATCCAGCATCTTGATAGAAATATGACTGTTCCATCATTGTTGCTGGGCCAATATCCTGGAACTCCCTTCATAATATCTACACCAAATGGACTGTAACAATTCAAGAAGGCAAAGCTCAATCCCCACAAATGAATAAAATAGACTAGCAATTGTAAAAGCACAGATTAATGCTCTAGAATCACAAGTCCAAATTCCATCATTAAACAGATGAGGTTATTTAAGTTCAAATAATAATAACATTTGCACGAAAAGGCTAATCCCATTAACAATAATTTTCAAATAATAATACCAGATTTTCATAAAAACCCAACTGTTTAACTGGCATCTTCCACAGAAAGGAATCTATCGTCTTGGCCTTGGATGGCCTACACACGACTCCAGATCCATAGCAATATAGTTAACTCTCATATGCCCTCTGAAATAGCCTAGCAAACCACACAATTGAATCAAACCGTTATAGCGAAAAGCACTGCAAGTTAGCCAACAGCACGCAAGCTTCTGTTCTGAAGAGTCATAGCAGACTCAAAACATTTACTATTTCTCACTCCATAGATGCTACTACAATTGTTGAGTTTCTCCTCATTTTCTGTGTCTGTTTCAGATTTGCAACACCCTTAGTATTTTGCTTTTACATAGACTTCAGTGTTTTAGGAAAGCAGCTCACTATTTCTCAAACAGCAATTCGTCAATAAATGGTGACCTTGCCAGTGACGCTCACATACTAAGAAGACATTAAATGTTCAGTTTGGACGATGCAGGAAAAAAAGTTCACGACTCAATTTTTTTCAAGTAGAATGGCTAATGCAGGTCAGAGAAGGTGCAGCTAATCCATATAGCATTACTGTGCTCAGCAAATATTTTCCACAGTCTTTTCCAATTCCCACACTGCCTGTGTGAAACTAATACTGAAACGGAAGTTGTCCCAGACTAAGCTGAGAACTATCCCCAAAAATTTGTTTTGTGTACTTGATTTATATTATATAAATATACAACACCAAAACCTTTCTTTCAAACAATTAAAGCTAAATTCCAACACAACTCCCACATTAAGACACTGACTTTCACACAAGAAAGTCTATTTCAGCACTGAGGATGCAGCTTGATAATAGAATGCCCACAATGCCAATGGGAAACGTTAGGTGCAATCTGGAGGTGAGAAGCAGCCTGGTGACACCTTAAACATCTCAGCATCATACTAATACAAAAAGTGCTGTGAGGGCAGATAAGATCAATGTGACCAAGTCAGAAGTTCATTTAAATTCCTTTGTTCTTGCATTGTATAAGCTTTACACTGAAGCTGTGTCTTTTACATAATCATGTTGCCATTGTAATTAATTTCATGCCTTCTTTTAGGATAACACTTCCATTTTGAAGATGTGTTTGCCTTAAAACTACTACACCACAAAAAAAATTAACTGGTGAAAGTTGTGCTTAGTACTGATTTCCCATTATTTTCTGTGTTCAGTACAAATTAGATTCCAACCTGTAGCTGACTCTGAAGATAACTGTTTTGGTTACAAAGACCCTTGACTATTTCTCTTCAGCAATGCAAGACAGCGGGACAATCTGATTTTGTCTGATTTTCTGGGGAGACGGGTAGGTTATGGCAGTGTAGAGCAGTGCTTTGTTGAATTAATTCCATTTGACAAAAACGAGCTTTGGTATTCAGTGTTCCCTTTAAATTAAACAGTTAATTAGATCACATCATTGACAACCAACTGGGTACAGCTCTATCTAATTAACCAGAAATGGTTTCAACTCAACTCAGGGTCATGGAGACACTGAATTTACATGAATTACACCAAATGTTTTACAATTTTTATGAGAGGCTAGAAGTAGGAACTTTCAACTTGTTTATTCGTAACAAGAAACAGGACTCAAAGTGTCATTTTTACCTGAGCCGGCTCCGCGCAGTTGGAGTGACTGAGGCAGTAGGGGATGAAGAAGTCAAAGACAGCTGTGGAGATGTGGTTCCCATTCCCATTAATGCTGGAGAGGAGCCATCTGTGACTGTCAGATCACGCTTTATCTCCTCACTGCTTCTTCGGGACACTGCAGGAAAAATTGAGTTTGTGATCATTAACAATTGCAAACCGGTTGACTGCCATTATCCAACAGTATATTTCTGAATACAGCATAACATGGTGCTTGTACTCATATTCAATGCTAGAGTTAAAACTGGTTTACAACATACTGCTAAAAAACCCTTCAGACTTTCAAAATCCTGCTTCAGATCTCAGTGAGTGTTCCCACTTCTGAGAATTTCCTTTAGTCTCAATATAATAGTTACAAGCATCACATCACTGTCATTACTACAGCATCATATTACTGCAAAGCTAAGCACAATAGTTGTGGGCATTAAGTTGCTGAAAATTGTGTCATTTCGTGAGATGGGTTATAAAAGTGTATTAAATTTGTGTCACTCATGTTCAAATAAAAAAGGGGGAGGAAGGGGAAGTCTAAAAAAAAATTTGGTACCAACTATGATCAGGTTGTCCTCCTCTCTTCTGTTTAAAAAATAATCAACTACACTGGTGATGTCTTTACCCTGCACACCTTTTTCTCTCGGCTTATGTATGGTAAAGTGATACACACTACACTTGTTGCTTAACTGCAGAGACATCAAATCCACTCAAAGTACATCTTACTTTTTCTCCCTACAGGTATTCTTTCCTCATCTCCTCTTAAAGATGAAGAAATTGGATCATAAACAGTTTTGATAATATTTCAAAGTGCTGAATACTGTAATGCAAAAATAGTTAATATTCCTTCATCTAAGTTTGTGTCTATTCCTTACAGCACTATTCTGTACTTTTCATTGCCTGCATCTTCATGTCAACAAAGACATATAAATCACAACAGTCTGATGCACAAGTGCAAAAGAGAACCAAAATGGTAGATTTTTCTTTGGAATTCAAAACTGAGGAAGTTGTGATTGGTTGTACAGAATCTTGGTCTGACTGTCTGGAGGACTGTGTTCATTTCTGGGCATTGCACCTCAGAAAAGATGTATTGGTATATTGGTCTTTGAATGGCTGGATAACAGATTCACTAGAAGGTTACTAAGGCTCTAAGTGTAAAATTATGAAGACAGGTTGCACAAACAAGGCTTATATTTTTCATTTTAGAAAATTGAGGTGTTTAAAGTAAACTAATGTAATAGGATCGATATGGAGAAACTAATCATTCTGAATGAAATAACTGGAATGTTAGTCTCTTTTATTGCTCATCTCAAAGTGCTTTTGTGTAGGTGCTGAACATCAACCTTGAAAAGCCCATGTCACTGGAAATGATGCCAACCACCCCAACAAACCGAGGCAAATAAATAGCAAGCGGCACAGAACACTGATGCTTCACTGGAGGCACAATGATGATGTTACCTAGCAGGGTAATGAAACATCTGCAATCAAATACACTGGCTCAGTGAGCAAGTCTACAACCCCATGTAAGCCTTGCCAAAACTGGCAAAACCAGTGTAATATACAAAATACCATGCACGGACTGTGAGAAACACTGCACTGGCCAAACTGGAAGAAAACTGACAATATGGATACACAAACCCCAACTAGCCACTAAGAGACACGACCAATTCTCACTTGTCTCACTACACACACACAAGGGACACAAATTCAACTTGGACAACACATCCATAATCGCACACCAGGGAATTCCTGGAGGCCTGGTATTCTAACCAGAACTCCATCAACAAACACATTGAATTAGACCCTATGTACAAACCACTGAGAAACAGAACCGGAAGTGGTACCAAACACCCCAACAAACTGAGGTATATAAATAACAAGCGGGACAGAACACCAACGCTTCACCGGAGGTGCACTGACGATATTACCTAGCAGGGTGACAAAGCGTTTGCAACCAAACACCCTCAGCTCGGCAAGCCTGTCTACAACCTAATGAATATTGTGTTAATTGGGTAATTTAGTACTGAACAGTTTATTTCAAAGAAGTGTGAAAATCACATTTCAAAGTTTCTCACACACTGAATTACTTGAGGTTCAGAGATTCTGTTAGTAAAACCCATGCAACTGGTCAAACGCGATGTCTCCAATCTGCAGTCAGCATGTTTAGGGTCCTGTTTTTTGTGCGCACAGTGTATCCATTTTGAAAAAAAAAGTTGCTAATTTATATCTGTCTTCTTTAAATTTGTGGTGTAAAATAATTATTTTCTCGTGTGTTGTGGTTTTAAGTTTAATGGAGCAGTCGTGATTGAGGATATTGAAGAATTACTCCAATTCTACTTCTGAGAGTCCAATTGTTGTATTATTCAACACAAACGGCAATGTTACTATGTCAGTGTATCACATAACAGATAAGTTAGAGAGAATGAACTCCAGAGAATGGCTGAAGAGGTGCCCAAAAAGAAATTTTGATCCCTGCCTCTCTAGTGTTAAGCCATGGTCAAAACCTTTACTCTACCCTAATTAAAGACATCACCATAATTGCTGCTGTTTAAAAAAAAACCGCAAAGCAGTACTAATCACTACAGATCTACCTTTGACTTACTTTACATTCTTTACCATCTTCCGACCTTTCTGGCATTGGGTCAAAAACCTGGAAAATGTTACCTAACTGCATTGTGGATGTACCTATACCATATGGATTGCATGAGTTTAGATAACCTTCCAAGGGCAATTAGAGATAGTAATAAACTCTGACTTTGCCAGCAATGCTCACGTTCCATGAAGCAAATTTTGACAAATTCATAGATACAAGCCAAATAACAGTGGAGGCAGCAGCACAGAGGTAATCTCATTAGGGTAATATTCCAGAATCCCAGGATAATATTCTGGGGACATGATCTTGAAGCCCACCAAGGCAAATGATGAAATTCAAAGCAAATGGAGAAAAAAAATGGCATAATGGTGGCCACATAACTACTACTGATTTTCATAAAAAATCCCATCTGGGTCATGAAGGAAGGAAATGTACCATCTTTATCTGCCTAAATGTGACTCTACAACCACAAAATCGTGGTTGACTCTTGCACCCTCCAGGAAATTAGGAATAGGCAATATGTGCTGCCCTAGCCAGTAACACTGAATAGATGAACGAAATGGTAAGGAGGATGCGAGCTGCGTTACGTGCCAGAGTTAGGATGCCTTTGAGGGTAGAATGCCAGGCTGCCAGCTGGGGAGGGTTTAGGATGTTAGGTGGTATGATACTGGATAAGTATGTGGTAGGTGCCAAGGTTGGATGCCAAAGGAATAGGGCGTAGGATGCCAGGAAGATACGGTGCCAGGTGGATACAATGTCAAATGGGAAGAGATTAGGGTATTACCGGTGTTAGGTCAGGGTCTTTGTTTTGGGGACAAGGGGGGTGGTTAGTGCAAGTGATCTGAGGGAGGTGTAGTTGGGGGGTGCGTGAGGTCAGTATTGGATCAGTTTAATAGATACTCAGGAGTTAGGCTAAGTATCTTAACAATCTAACTTTTCCCAACTAACTATTTTATTTAATTTCATTGGAACTCTTCAGAGTTTCCGATTTAAATGGAGACTTTCAGAGGGTTTCAAGCATAGAGGAATTGCTCAGCAGAATCTGCTATATTCAGGGCAAATCCTTTGGACTGTGCTTCAATGGAAAAGTAGACGGGGTTGGCTTCACTGGCTCGATAGAATCATAGAATCCCTACAGTGTGGAAACAGGCCCAACAAGTCCACACCGACCCTTGGTGCATCCCACCAAGACCCATCCCGCTACAACCCACCTAACCTATACATCCCTGAACGCTACAGGCAATTTGGCATGGCCAATCCACCTAGCCTGCACATCTTTGGACTGTGGGAGGTAGCCGGAGCACCCCGAGGAAGCCCAAGCAGACACGGGGAGAATGCGCAAACTCCACACAGACAGTCGCCCGAGGGTGGAATCGAACCCGGGTCCCTGGTGTTATGAAGCAGCAGTGCTAACCACTGAGCCACCATGTCGCCCACAATAGCTTGTTCGCGATGCAGAATACTGCCAAGTGTGTGAGTTCAATTCCCACAAGGACTGAGGTAACCATGAAGAACTCTCCTTTTCAACCTCTCCCTCACATGAGGCATGGTGACCCTCAGGTTAAATCACCAACAATCGTCCCTCTCTAATGAGAGCAGCTCTATGGTTCAGTAGGATTACGGAGACTTTATGTTTACCTTGCTTCAATGGGGATTCTGCAGGGTCCGAGTGAACAGCTCCTATCTACACTGAAACATTGACTGTCCAGTCAGCGGAAAATCCAGGCCAGTATGTTTCCTGGGAATCTGATAAGAGGTGGAATTCAAGCAGTGATGGAGAAAATATTATTTTGGTCTTTTACACAAAAGAAAATGGTCCAAGAGAGGAAACTGAACACAGCAAGATCTGAGAATTGAAGTTCAGTAGCATTGATTGGTGGGTTAAATTTTTTTCCTCTCTCTTGGACACTGGTTTAATCTTGTGTTACAGAGATACAAGTATTGTTTTAAACTTACAGCATTACATGTTAAATTCCATAACATAATTACAGAAAATGGATGAATGGTATTTTTAAACTTTAAATCAAATTAGCTGAATTGGACACAAAAGGATGGCAGGTCAGAGGATGGGTTGCAGCAGTAGCATTTAGGAGCTAGTGGACATCAATGTGATCCACGGCAACCCCATCTGCAATGCAGGTGTTTGCTGCTTAAGGAAATTCTGGTTCACCTTAATAAGGCTGGACTCCGAGCTTTGAATACTGCAAGACATCAGAGAAGGGACACAACGAAGCAAAAGCATTTCCTAGGTTAGGTATGTCAGATTTGATCATTGTCAAGGGCAAAAGGGTGTGACAGTAAGGGAGGCAGGTATTGATTAATTGGTTTAATTTTCCTCCAGCTTGCATGGACAAGAGCAGTGATTGCAGCACGGAAGCACAAACTGACCACAATACCACGATACAGAGAGCCATTCAGCTGCTGGTTGTGGTGGTGTTGGGTGGGGAAAACTGTTATGAGGAAGAGAATACACAGGTAAGTACAGCACAGTACAGTTAGGGGATAAATATTATTCGCTTTAGCCAAGAGTATCAGTC